CGAATGCTCGGGACCAACTTACTCCAGCCAGTCAGCGGGAACTATGTATTTCAGCACGTGGAGGGGTGGGCGGGTTGGGATGGTTGTGGACAAAAACATTGTTGTTATTAAGTAACAAATTAAGCGATCAAAAAAGATTGTTATATTAGTTTTGTCATGAAAGATGAACAAATTACTATTATTAATTTGTTACTTGACAACAACAATGTTTTTGTCCACAACCAACACAACCCGCCCACCCCTCCACGTGCGGAAATACATAGTTTCCGCTGACTGGCTGGAGTAAGTTGGTCCCGAGCATTCGTAATGGCTGATGCTATAGCCCAGCGGCAATTAACTGTACGCGGGCTATAGTACTAGAGCTACTTTGTGATTAGCCCTCGGTTTGTAACGTGCAAAATAAATGGGCAAATACGCAACTTTTTCAGGGTGTCAGCACGGGCGCGGGTGTCATAGCGCCGTTCAAATTTCGTAGCGTTGATGTGTAATTAATTATAACAATTAAATTAGGTATCTGGTAACAAATACGTGTGGGTATAGACAATTTGTTATACAGTAAGTATATACAGTTGTATGCAGTAAAATCCTAGAGTCTACTATCCCTTTAACACTATGTTGTCCTACGATGTGTAACAGTCAGAGACCCTGGTCGGTGTAGCTCTAGTAGCTACTATGGGCGTGCGTGCGGTGTAACTGACAGCTGTATGTTGCAGAGGAACATTTGGAACGGCATTTATAGGAAATTATCGGCAATAATAGGCGAAAAAGAGTAGAGAAACATTAAGACTTTGGTAGTAAATACATTTCGTGTTTATTTACCATAATTTTTAGCTCACTTTGACATCGTCAAGATGAGCTATTGCCATGGGTCGTCGTCCGTCGTACGTCCGACAACATTTGTCTACGGTCAACGATAACTCGGAAACGATACGGAACTTGATAATAAGGAACCATTTGACCCACATGTTTGAAATTGGGTATAGTTGTTACTGCTATGGGAGAGGTTTGAACGTCCTATTTTGGAGCACGCCAGTCGACGTACTTTCGAGCCACGGCAATTTTTTGGCAAAAATGGAAATTGCCATTAGTCAGTTCAGGTTCAACGGATTTTGCTCATTTTTGGTATGTAAATGAATAAGGGCTAGCCCCAAAACTATAACTATAGACACGCAGATAACAGTCTGTGGTGTCACACTTGTCTGGTTCGTTTTACAAGATTTCATTGACAATATCTTTAATGCAAAATTGGTATTTCCTCTCCACCCTGCCGATAAAACTTCTATATTAGAGTAAAGTTTTACAAAACATGTCGGAACGCAGCATAACCTATTTATTTTGAATGCCATCGCTAAGAAACATCAAAGTGTGTATAGCGCCATCTACCTTCACAAATTGTGATTCATTTTGGTTTATAAATTATTATTGCGATATACAGATGGCAACCGTGTGCTATAATGCCTAGAAAAACTCATACGAAGTAAACACTTCCATGCAATCAATTAACCTTTGACAAAAGTTGTGTTATGGGCAGGGAAACACCATTGTCACATGGTATATAGTAGGGCTGTAACGATACACAAGCCTCTCGATTCGATCCGGTTTTCGATATTAGCCTCTCGATTCGATTCCTTCGATTCGATTCCCAAAATATTGAAATGTTATCTTATTATTTATATTTTCATTATTTTGCAATAATAAATTATTAGAAATTGCCAATGAATACTAAATGGTGAATAGACTAGACTCTAGAGAGTCTAGAGAGTATATATCATAGAGATGTATACTATTTATACATATCTATGGTATATATACGCTGCACAGTCGCTGAGTAAAATTGGTGAGTAACACTCCACAGTATATAGCGTAGTGCCGCCATCTATTGGAAGAAAAAAGTGGTATCGAAGTGGAATCGAAAATACGGGGGAAAATTATCGAGGATCGGATCGAGGGAAGAGAATCGCGATCCGATTTGATTTCGGTGGATCGTTACAGCCCTAGTATATAGCAGCTACGTGGAATAAGCGTATCCTCTCAATCTTACACGTTACACATCGGGAGCTCCGCTTTTAGGCAGTGCCTAAATCTGAATATTATAAAAACGTTAAATGGCGGTCATTTAGGTGTAACGCCATCACTCGCCCACATCTCAGACTTTCACATCTCAAACATTTACTTTCACATAAAAGATTACACATATAATTATCAAGAGTATATAATGGGAGTTCTCCCATATATACTCTTCGTTTCTATAACGTACGTCGATGGTTGCTCAATTAAAACTGACTTCTTCTCACTCACTCATTTGTGTCTTTTTTGTGTGGTGAGCTACAGTGTCATTGACACTTTCATTTTATTGAGACATTCTAAGTGCCTGTGCTCTTGTTGGGTTACATTATTGTGTCTAGTTTTGGTGTGACTTATCACTGGAAGGTTCATTACTAACAGCAAGCAGTGATTGGCCGAGTTACATATACTGCCACATTGGATCCCCTTCAAATTCACTTTTCCAACACTGCAACAGGGTCAGCAATTTGTGATCCGGATAAGTGATCAGCCTAAAACAAACGAGTAGAATCAATGGATCCGTGTGGTCCAGATCCTATGATCCCCCAAACAAATCCGCCCAATGTAGGTGAGTCTCCGTTCGTTAGAGCAACCCAACGTGCTGAATTGTTAATTGTAAGAATGACTGAAAATAGCGCACGAATGGTCGTTGTCGTAACAGGTACTACAGATATGTACCCGAGGTACCGTAGTTTTAGGTTGTTTAGTATTATGTTTATATTTTTATATGAGGTATGTTTAGGGTTAGGGTTAGTGTTAGGGTTAGGGTACACTTCTGTAGTACAAGTCTGGTACACTTTGTGTATATATATATGTACCTCGGGTACATATCTGTAGTACCTGTTACGACAACGACCCCTTGAGCGAAAATAGCCCAATAGCCTCAATTCCACACCTGTATTTATGCACCTGTTGTTATACTTGTACCTAATTTCTTAAATAATGACCTCTTTTATGATATGTACATGTATAATCTAACTAAAACTAATATTGAAATAGACGATACTGCAATCTTTTTTTTAATTAATAAATAATATATGCTCTCAGTCTATAGCCTGGATAAACATTGTTATGGCCAAACTTCATTAGTTAATGCCCATGTGTTGGCGCCACCAGCGTTGTGATGTAAGCGAACGGTCGGCAGTTTAATTCATTTTTTAGCTTAATTTAAACAAAATTTAGTTAAAAAATTTGCATTGAACCTAGAATATTGTTTCACTTCATTCTGTAATTAATGTAATTGCATGTATTTTTTCAGGTTTTATAAAGTGGATCAGTTGGCGTGTTGGCTACTGGTAAAAAAGTGTTTTAATGACTTTAAATAATTTACAAGTACAAGCAGCTAATCAATGAGAAGTGAACGCCACGTCGACGCAGTTTCGATTAGATTTATTCGGCGGCGATATGAAGACATCGCCCCTCTACTATTTACTGAACTGAAGAACAGAAGCGACACACAGAGACAGCATCAGACAACACATGGATATCTGTCTTACGGAAAATCACATGAATACAGTAATTTTGGTAATCAGTCTGTACTTGTGAGACAGAATTGGACAGCGCAGCACCAAAACCACCCAAGTGCAGGAGTACATAATTCATCAGCAGTGTGCAATATTATCTAGAATGCAACGAGGTAACAGAGAGATATATTTGACCTCAGTAAAAGTGCATTGTTCAGGTTAACTAGTACCATGGAATTGCATCCAATCATTGATGACACTACATCAGAATTATGTAAAGGGATATGTTATGTTGTGAGTGGGCATGCGAAACAACCATCGTTCCGCGTTGGGCACAGCTGTACACAATTGGCAAGCGTGAATGCTGAGCCAGGAAAGGTGTATGTCATTGCTGGCGCAAATCCCTCAGAGTTATTCAATGACGTACACACACTCGATCCAAAGTCGCTTCAATGGGAAAGGGTGGTTAGCAGCAACGAAGACACATTTCTTGCACGCTATGAACATGCAGCCTTTTCACCAGCTTGCGACCCCTGCAAAATCTACGTATTTGGTGGTGCAAACAAGGAGGGAAACTTCAACGATGTTCAGAGGTTTGACACGACAACATCCAAGTGGGAGACGGTGAAAGTCAGTGGAACAGCACCACACGCGAGAACCTGTCGCTCTACGGCAAACATTGGCAATAAGCTGTACATATACAGTGGCGGCATGAGTGGGCCTGATCCCATATCTGACACGCAAGTGCATAGCTTTGATGCAGAGACCTGTAGCTGGACAGGTTTGACGTTGACCGGCGAGCCACCAGAGCCACGTCATGGACATATCATGTGTGCTAGTGGCAACCGTGTGTTCATCCACGGTGGAATGGGAGGTGTAACTTTTTATAATGACCTTCACGTCTTGGATTTGGATCTCCTGGCTTGGACAAAGGTTAAGGCAGGCAAACATCAACCAGGCCCAAGAGCAGGTCACCAGGCCGCTGTCTATGGAAAGAAGATCTACGTGTTTGGAGGGATGTGTTGCTCATGTCAGGCTCTAGATGACTTGTACATCCTTGACACAGGTACAGTACCATGGATATGAACTAACGAAACCTATTAAACTAATTTAAGCTTGATGTGTCTTACTTTTTCGTTAGGATGGACGTATGTTTGGTTTTGTGGGAATATATAGCAACTGCGTGTACTGCATTTTCCTACTGTACTAGGACAAACAGGCAAATGTGATTTTCTGCTTTGCTTTGGACAAAAGCGTTTGTTTGTTGGCAGCGGTTTAGACACGATAATCTGCCTGTCTAGAAAACACAACACCACATGTTTGTGCGGAAACGTATGCCTTCGGTCAGTGTAAAAATCGTAACTTAAAGGCATAATAGGCCCATTGATTATGCAATGTTGATGAATGCTACAGTAACTGGCACCTTGTGTAGTTAATAAGTACATAACCTTACATCCAAACGCGTATTAGCTTGTCCAATATCACTTCTGGTTACATTACAAACAAGACTTGAAATCGGTTGTTGATATTTATCAACGTATCATTTACATGCCATAAATGTCATCCAGGAGTCAAGCGATGAGGTAAAACATTTGTTCGTCCCGTATGTTTTGGACGCCAGATGAAATGGAGGTGCCAGTGGTGGTCCGTGTTTCGTACATGGATTCCACATTCATTACAATTATTGCTAGCATGCCAGCTGAGCGCAATACAGCAGCAAGAGCTTTCAAGCAGCTGAACGGTAACAGTTGGAGATGATCTACCAGTGCGCAGAGATACTGCATGAACGTAATAAACACGGATGCTTCGTGATTCTTTTTCACATTTATATGTTGCTTGTAATCTCAAGATCTTCGTATCTTTATTTATTCTAAAGAGTAAAACCATAACGTACGGAATGCGCACTCAGACCACAAGAATCGAAATCACTAATGATAACATATTGTGTACGTCCGAACATGCGTGCGAAAATGTCCGGTGCACTATAATCTGTATCACACCCGATTCGGCGGCTGCGGTTTGAAACTGTAAACAACTGATTCATTTGACTGCGGATTTCAATTAGACATTTCTTAGTAACCAGCAGTGATATTGGACAAGCTAATACGCGTTTGGATGTAAGGTTATGTACTTATTAACTACACAAGGTGCCAGTTACTCTAGCATTCGTTAACATTGCATAATCAATGGGCTTATTATGCCTTTAATATGCCTAACGATAAGTGAAGACAAACGCCTATAGATGAATTGTTATATTGTTCTTCTCTGCAATTCATTTCATATTTAAATTACAGATGTGATGCAGTGGACTAAAGTTGAATTAAACGGCCCACCACCTGCACCCAGGCTGGATTTCACCATGGCCATTGTAATGCTAAAACTTGGTGAAACCCCATCTGTGCCATCTCTAGATGTACATACTGATAATGCTCAAGCAGTCTCAAGTAGTTTCCAAGAGCTGAATCTAGAAGAGGGACAGGCATTCACAGCTGAGCTGCCTCTAAAGTCTGGTAAATGTGCATGCATGTAGGAACTTTACCTCAGTTGCAGTTAAATTTTTACATTGAATCTTATTAGACAAGTGCCGCAGTGCGACAGGGCTCATCTGGTGTCTGGTGTTCTGCTGATAAATTCATTTGTGCATAGCAAGACGTCTTATACATAAGTCTTCTTTATTCTTGTTTGACTTTCGTAGCCAATTCGAACAAATATATCAGCTACACTTTCGCACCCACCTAATCTCTATGCATTGCAGACACATGTGCATTGCAGGTTGGCAGGCAACAATTATGATTAGAAGCGTGCCAGCCATGGGCTGCCCCGTGTTTTTGCCTACCCACGCGAGCATTCACTGATTCAGCCTTCAGGGTGCTATAGACAGACTGCTTCAGAACGTAATATGATTTAAGGAGCATAAACCTTGCTCAACAAACATTTGCCTTTGCAATTCAACTGTGCAACTGTAGCCTCACATTCACATAGGTATATGGGCTCTAATAATAGCAAAAGCAGTTCAGTCCTTTGTTAACAGTCAACAAATTGATGTTTAACCCTCCTATTGGGGGTCAAAAGGTTATCCGACACTTACTCTTCGCATGTCACTGTCAGCGGAAAGTACATTTCATGGTCCTTTCAATAAAGCCATAAAAATGGTAGGTCACCGCTAAAACAAAAAAGTTTTTCAATCGCTCCGTCAGACCATGTCCTCAGAAAATGTCTAAACTCTGCCCTGTGCCCCATTGACCTTTGAGCTGTGACCTCCAATTTTGGCACAGTGATGGCTTTTCCTACCATGATGCTATACACCGACTATCACGAGCCTAGGTCGAGCCATTTAGATTTGTGCCGCAATTCTGCATTTCCTCCCTATACCTTAAGTTAAGGAGGGAATGTTCCCTCTTCTTTTACACCTCTTGACCTTTGACCCCCAGCTTCGACATCCCAACTCGTTTTAGGATTACCACCCCACGTCCCGACTTTCGAATCTGTACGTCGAGCCGTTTAGATTTGTGCCCAACTGTTGACGGACGCACGCACGGACGCACGCACGGACGCACACACGGACAATCATGTGATTCTACAAGCTACATCTGACTTCGTCAGATGAGCTAACAAATACACAAATGCACAAATTTCTCGATTTATCTCTCTCTCTTTCTGTGTCTCTTCCCCCTTCATTACTTTCCATCTCACACATTCACTGACACTAACATACGTTAATTTTCGCTTGACACTTTGTTCTCTGTCATAATTTTTTAGCTCACATTGACATCGTCAAGATGAGCTATTGCCATGGGGTGTCGTCCGTCGTACGTCCGTCCATCCGTCCGTCCGTCAACATTTGGCTACGGTCAACGATAACTTGAGAACCATTTGACCCACATGTTTCAAATTGCATACAGTTGTTCCTCCTATGGGAGAGATGTAAACGTCCTATTTTGGAGCACGCCAGTTGACCTACTTTCGAGTCACGCCCACTTTTTGGCAAAAATGGAAACGGCCATAAGTCAGTTCAGGTTCAACGAATTTTGCTAATTTTTGGTATGTGAATGAATAAGGACTGGCCCCAAAACATATCACAGGAGTTTTGATATTATTTTTAAATGATGCAAATTAGGTAGATTTTGCCAATTTCACTAGATGCATTTCAGTGTCTGCCTACGATCAACGATAACTCAAGAACCGTTTGACCCACATGTTTCAAATTGCATACAGTTGTTACTCCTATGGGAGAGATTTGAACGTCCTATTTTTGAGCACGCCAGTCGACCTACTTTCGAGCCACGTCCACTTTTTGGCAACAATGGAAATAGCCATAAGTCAGTTCAGGTTCAACAGATATTGCTCATTTTTGGTATGTGAATGCAATAAGGACTGGCCCCAAAACATATCACAAGGGTTTTGATATTTTTTTTAAATTATGCAAATTAGGTAGATTTTAGCAATTTCACTATGCATTTCAGTGTCTGCCTATGGTCAACGATAACTCAAGAACCGTTTGACCCACATGTTTAAAATTGCATACAGTTGTTACTCCTATGGGAGGGATTTCAACGTCCTATTTTGGAGCACGCCAGTCGACCTACTTTCGAGCCACGCTCACTTTTTGGCAAAAATGAAAATCGATCGATCGATTTTGTTAAATTTACCTACCTACCTACCTACCTACCTACCTACGTGTAATATTGTGTTTTAGATTCTTCGTTACAGTAATTTGACTTTGAATATTTTATTGCTTTTATTTGCGCGATAATCGAAAACCAAAATGGCGATCATTTATGCGTAGCGCCATCTCTCACCCAGATTTCAGACTTTCAGATATGAAACATTTATTTTTGCATTAAAACTAACCCTGAAACAAAACAGTGAAATTTCTATTAGTATAAAATAGGGAATAACGACATTTGATCACATTTTGGTCGGTCATAAATGAAACACTTACCAAATTTTAAATATCATCTCCCTCTTCTATCACACCCAATGTGAGCTATAGTGTCATTGACACTTTCATTTAATTACCTAAGGAAGAATATAAGCATAGACCTGTGATCGCACCTTGGAGTTAGGGTATGTAAATGTACATGCTATATAAAATTTCTGTTACAGAGATGGTCCCATCGAACACCACAGCACTGGAGATAGCGACTAAATTGCCAAGTACAAACACAGAGGCAGCAGTCGTTTCCCCTTCTCCTGTATCAGGACATGGAACCAGTGTACATGTCTGTATGATATTTGGAGGTATGGACGCCGAAGGAGAAATATTTGATGACTGTCTCGTTATGATGCTGTAAACCTTGATGTCGTTATGCACTTATTTTACCGTTTCAGCATTAATACATGTTCTTCAATATTTGTTTTTGTGTGCGTGTGCAAAGGTGCATACTGAATTTCTGGAAAAATAAACATTACACGTTGTACATTTTGTCATTTCTAGAACTTGGGCTATCATATCCTTTCTTGTGCAGTGGTTTGCCTGTTTGAGCAGTGATTTCTTGAGCATTTCCTTAAAGGGATCGTTTACTCTAAGTTCTAGGGTTATTTTCAGTTAATTTAGGTTAACATTACGCTACATAAAAAGTTTCATGGTTCAATCACCATTA